CTTGCTTGCCAATCTTATTTCTTTTTCTTGTCTATTTTTTGTACATATATGTCCCAACGCATATATGTTTCTCTGTTTTATACTTTCTGAAAATGTTCCAATTTTTAAGAATCTGTATAGAAATGTTTAACGAATTTTTGTCCCTTATTAGAATCACGCTTCCTTTTTTCTCAATGAAATTTGTGCATTTACGAAAATTTCACCACATCGGGCCGTTTTCAGTTCTGCAACTCTAAATCGAAATCTGGGGAATTTCACTGAGAAAAAAGCGAAGCCACCTCCAAAAGTACTTAAACCCTATTGTTGCGATCTTGTTTCTATGCTAATCTTGAAATCTTCTTAGCAGCTACTTGCAAATTTGAATTACCTGACTTAATTCTTATTATATTTGTGCATGTCAAAGAAGTTGCAGTTTAGGGTTTGTAACACTGTGACTGTTCAGAGTGCTGTTTCTTCTGTAGATGGGCATGTTTATGCTCATTGTTTGTATTCCCATCCCTTCCTTACAGCCAAAAGCTCTAATGCCGTCCGATCTCTCCGTTCCGCCTTTACATGGACATGGCAGCTGATGTACACTTTCACCCCCATTTATATCATTACCTTCCTAGTATGTTCATAGGCCCCACCCCCTTTCAATCACCCACTCTACCTTACCTTCTCCCCAACTCCCTTTACTTTACTAGAAAAACTGTACAGCCATTTTGGAAGTAAAAAAAAACAAAAAAAACAGAAGAAGTCATCAAGATACTTAACGGAGAGACTTGTGTATCGAAGTATAGCTATAACATTTTTATAAAGAAAAGATATACCCCCAACAGAATGGTCAAGAATATTTTCATGTCATGATGTGTGGATGTATGTGTTTGCCTCCCATCCTGTCTGAAAATACAGAGTTATATACTACTTAATCAGAAGTTGTATAAAAAAAGAAACTTAACTTGTCCAAAGGCATTCTTACACAACTTTCTTTTGTAAATTTTTGTTTTCTTCCTGCCAAAATCATGCGGGCAATTTGTTGATGTAAGTTGACAAAACTGACTGGTATGCTTTTCTTCCTTTTTGACAAAGTTTTCGTAGGCTTTTATCATTTTCCAAGCTCAAATTTCTTTTTGTTTTTATACTAATCCCTGTTTCTGGATAGCTCTATCTGTGGCTTTACTTTGTGAATGTTTTGACGATGTTTGCTCTAACTCTAAACTCTTTTTGCAATGCCTTACTTATGCCTTGGTTTCACTTTTACTTTCACTTTTGTTTTCGGTTAATTTTCCTTATTGTTCCAAAAGGTTTGCATCTCTTTTTATAGTGCCCCGTTTGTGCCTTTGCAATGTTCTAACTAGCCACATTGGCAAGAGGAAAAGCAGCTTCAAGACATATCTGAATGTTTCCCATTTTTTTTTGATAGACTGCAAAATAAATCCAAAAATAAGTCATTTTTAAAGGTCCTATATTTCGCTAAATTTACTCTTGTGAGCTTCAAAACAGACCTGGAGATGTGTTTTGTTTCATTCACATGTTTGAGTCACCCTTTATTATTAGTCTGTCTATATCTCCAAAGCTCAAAATGCTCTGTTCCACCTTGTGATGTCATCAAGTAGTAGTTAACAGCTACTTTTTACCCTTTAGTTCAGTAGCGATAAGCAATTCCACGGCTGAAATGATTAAAATGATTCAAGTGAAGGTGTATGAAGTTTAAAAACACAGTGAGGCACTGCCTGTATTACCACATGACATCACAAGGTGGAACAGAGTGTTTGAGAGAAGAACACAGCATAAATATGCAGTGTTTGTGTGTTAAATGTTTGAATGAAACAAAACACAACTCCAGGTATGTTTGCGATAAGGAAACAACATTAGAACAGAGAGCAAAAAAGCGTAATATGGGCCCTTTAATTTGCATGCTAGAGCAAAATATTAATAACTAGTAAATTTCTAGTATTTTTTATTTTATTTTATTTTTTACATATATTATTTTACTTATATTACATATATATTCTGACTAAATCTGTTCTGAGGCAAACATTCAGGTGTACTTGAACTGCTGTGAGACTTTGTGCCATAGTGGTCCCTGTAGGGGTCAAAAGGCAAGAGGCCAGAACATATAGGGGAGCCCAATTAGTACAGTTTTAGAAAGTATTAATCAAGGGTAGAGGAGGCACATAACAGGAAGGGATAAATATTATACTTATGTACTTATATACTATGCGATGAGATAAGAGATGAGATAAAATACATGAAAAATACATTCAGACAAGAGAATTAAATAGAAAATCATGTATCAAACTGCACTGGATACACACTGAAAGATTAATGTAGTTTTGTGTAATCTTTGCTATAGTTTACATTTTTACAAAAAAAAAGCCCTTTTTTTTTTTTTTACTTTATTGACAGATCTACGTAGATGATGAAACTTTTGCCATTTAGGATTAGAAAGTGGATTTTTCAAGTCCAAGATGATAAAAAGCAATACCTTGAATCCTAAAAATGCATTAAAACCCTGTTATGTATTAAAAAGTTGGGAAATTAAAGTAAACGCAATGCTCAAATCTACTCAAATGAATTATTAAAATTGTAATTCTAATTATTCTTTTTTTTAATTAACATTATTTTTTATACATATATATTTTAGTCTGTGTAGATATTTTGCGACAATTCAGATAATCTATGTCCATCAGGTAAATAAATCTAAACTAGTGAAAGATCAATACTTGAATTGTGTAATGTAGTTTTGTATAATCTTTGCTATGGTTGACATTTTTACTAGTTTAGATTTGTTTATAATAAAAAAGGGCCAATATTTCTTACATTATTGACAGATCTAGATGATGAAATTTTTGCCATTTGAGATTAGAAAGTGTATTTTTCAAGTCCAAGATGATAAAAAGCAATACCTTGAATTCTAAAAATGCATTAAAACCCTGTTATGTATTAAAACGTTGGGAAATTAAAGTAAACGCAATGCTCAAATCTACTCAAATTAATGATTAAATCTGTACATATATTTCAGTTTGTGTAGATGTTTTGCAACAATTCAGATAATCTATGTCCATCAGGTAAATAAATCAAAACTAGTGAAAGATTAATACTTGAATTGTGTATTTTTGAAAGTATGTAAAGTCTACCCAAGCTAAAATACGCAATTACTAAAAAAGTCAGTAAAAGAAGTAGACCAAACCTTTACTACCACCTCAATGTCACTGTGACTTCCAAACTTTGAAACAGGCTTATACTTTAAATGATTCTAACATATTAGCCTTGGACTCGTTTCGTTCTCAGAGTTTTCCAGGCAGCTTGCAGTTGTAGGATTTGTTTGGCTGTGGAGGTCAGTGGGGTTAAACGCTGCTCCACTGAACACTATCTCTCTCTTAACTGACTTTCGGGCCCACGGCTCACATATGAATTGCAAACAAATGCTAAATCCTTGTTTGAATTCACACAGCTCAGATTTGAAAAAGGATTTTAGAAAGATTTACTCTTAGTTAAATTAAACAAAACTGGACTTGACTTTAATTGAAAAAATATGCAGGAGGATCAGGTAGTGATTTACAGGGAGGCACAGCTTAAACAGTCCTAGTTAAAGGTGCATTATGTAACTTTCTGGAGGAGGATACGCCACCTGCTTGTTTCCATGGAGATGATATTGCTGCAAAATGTTCCACTGTATCACCTTAAACTTATCTTACATTTATTTAGTTACTGGTTCTTCAAAAAATCTTCTTTCCCACTCGCTTGTCTCCATGGATTGATAACTTTAATGCCATACTTTGGAACATTCCAAGGAAAAAAGTAATGGATCCATGGAGATGAGCAGGCGGCGTACTGTCCTCCAGAAAAGTTACGTAGTGCACATTTAAGCTTTAACAGTTGATAGTTTAGATACTCTGTGAAAAGTAATATCGAGATAAATTAAAGTTATTTGAATTAAGAGCATGTTTTCTTGATTTGTGTAGATTAGACTTAGTTAAAATGATCTACCAATGAAAAGTCTTATTACATTGGTGGATAATTTTACTTTTCAAATCAAATCCACTCAAATCAAGATAAAATATTCTTAATTCAGATGATTTTAACTTACCAATATTACTTTTTCAGTAGGAAAGTTAGGTTTAAGACGGCTCTCCCTTGTGCATCCCTCAAAGCCTTTTGATGCAATGTTCTCTTTATTTATGGCTGTTTTCTTTCAGTTGGGTCTTGTTTGGTTCTGAGTTCCATTGTTTTTGCACTGGTATAGTACTTTCAGTTTCTTTTTATTGTTTCTCTTCAGTTCCTCTGTTCCTCTGTTGGGCTTTGCTTTTTTATGTTCTTTATACTGACTTTCGCTGTAACTTTTGTCTTGTCTGTGGACCTGCTCGCTTCTTTCTAACTCTGCTCTTTCTCTCTTTGGTTTCCAGGAGGGGAGCTAGTGATCCCCGTGCTAGTTGAGGACCCCATAGACATCCCTTCTGTATCCACCCGCTCTCCCTTCATCCCCCTCCCCCCGACCCTCCGCCCCGTCCTCACCATGGCAACTGAGGCGGGGGTTCCTTGCTTGTCGGACCGAGGCGGCGATGATTGTGATGATGGTGATGGTGATATTGATGGTGATGATGGCATGGTGATTTCGGGGTTTGGCTCTGGCGAGGCTTTCGACTCAAGCCTGCCCCCGACTGACGATGAAGATTTTTACACCACCTTCTCCCTGGTAACAGATAAGATCTTGACCACGTCGGCTTATGAAGGGGGCTACAAAGCTATCGCGCCCAAGTGGGAATCGAAGGACTTGAGGCCTAGCAAAGCCTCTGAGGCAGGTAGGACTACATCCACCTCTCCTGTCCTCGGCCCCCGTGGCACACCGGCGGTCCCCTCGGACACGCCCCCAAAGCTGCCCGCGGGGAAAATGAACAATCGCGAGGTCAAACCGCCCCAGCCAGACATAGTTCTGTTGCCCCTGCCGACGGCCTTCGACGCAGATGGCACCAAACCGCGGGGGCCCTTCATCACGTCGCCCATGCTGCGTACTGTACCCGCGGCGTTGCCCACCGTGCCTGGCATCGTCCGGCGCGTCCCTCCTGGAGCCTCCGAGGTGATCCGGGAGTCCAGCAGCACCACGGGCATGGTGGTGGGCATCGTATCCGCCGCCGCCCTCTGCATCCTTATCTTACTCTACGCCATGTACAAGTATAGGAACAGAGACGAGGGTTCCTACCAGGTGGACGAAACCCGCAACTACATCAGCAACTCGGCGCAAACCAACGGCGCTGTGGTGAAAGAGAAAGCACCCAGCGGCAGCGCCAAAGCAAGCGGGAGTAGCAAGAGACCGAAAGACAAGGACAAGGAATATTATGTATAGAAAATTTAGTCATTTACAACACACAAAAACTGGAGATAAATAAACTTTTTAGACAGTACCATATTGGCAACTGTGATTAAAAAAGAAAGACATCTCCTGAACTGGACTAAAAAGAACTCTGGTGTTCCTGGAAGCACACTATTGTATCCATTACGGACAAATAAACGCAGTGAAAATCTAGCGGGGCTCAAAAGGACTTTTTTAAGGAGTCCCCCTCTGAAGACATTTAGTAGTGTGAATAAAAACATCACTGTTGACATCCACGCAACCCTCTTAACGTGACTGTAGGGGGCGCCACCCTCGGAGTTCTGAAAACAACCTTGTCCATTGTTAACCCTGTAAAATACGACCAGTGTCATTGGGCCATTTTGAGCTTGCATGTGAGGTGTATGTGACGTGGTGCTGGCATCTGTGTAAGTGAGGGACCTCAAAGAAACTATGATTGTAAGGGGAAGGTTGGAAGTCATAAAGAAGAGCCTGCAAACGGTTTCATTTAATGTAGCTAACACAGATGACAACGGAGGTTTATGTGTATTTAAATTAGTCCGATTTTTTTTACGTTTGAGTTTTGTTTTTGTTTTGTTTTTTAAGATAATGGTGGGTTGCCAAGGCGACCCAAGTTTAGACCGCTACCTTACATTTCCTAATGTGTATTTCTCCCTCTTTGACGATCTGAGCTATGTTCACATGTGGGCAGGTGTTTTGGCCGTTTGGGCTTTCCGTACGCAACGTTTTCAGTTTATTATCACATTTAACTATACAGATTACGTGAAAAATATGTTATTTTGTTACTAGGCTACTACTTTTTGCGTTAAAATGGTAGTAAAACAAAAATTGCAACCAAATGAAACGGTCATTTTTCATCTAGTGGTCGGTCAATCTTATGAGACCATAACTAATAATTAAGATTAGAAAAGCGCGATACATTCGTCGTAATAGAGTACCAGCCGTACATGTGGACATAGCTTCAGACCTCTAGCAAAAATGGCATCCAAAAATGCGAATAGTTTGTAAGTGTGAGAGATCCAGGCCGAGTGCATTGTCTTCGCTTTTTCAGTTTTGATTTAATCCTGTGAAAAATACATTACATCACTTTTTACCTTGCGAAAATGTGTTTAAATGTTCGGCTATACATTCTTTAGTGTCTGGATTACCATGACGAAACTGCTAATATGTTTACATCTTATATTACTTCATATCCGTTGTACTTTGCTGGTCAATATTGTTCAGAAAACTCAAATTTCCGTATCTGAAGTTCTTGTATTAAATTTGATTTCATGTCTGTAGCAACGTTTCAGAAAATCATCGCTCTTCATTTACAGCAAACGCCTGGAGACAGCAGTACATTACATTTCAGTACTTTGTTTATGAGGGGTGCAAATAATGTTGGATTACGAGTCTAGTTTTTCATGCTAAAATGCTAAATATTTGTCCAAGAAAAGTTGTCATTCAAAGCAGACTTCCCCTATATGTATTTGGGACTTCTTTGCAAATTGATTTCATGTTGTTTATTTTTTTAATGGAAAATTTTAAACTATGAGAAGAGAATAAAGAAAGATTATGATGGATTTGGAGAGCTGTTGCTAGCACCTTAATGACTTCAAATACGTGTTCGAATTTAGTTTTGATTTTTACAAAAACTGTGACGTCAATGTTTTGTCTTTTTTGCATATTTATTTACTGTTTCTCTGTTCAGTTATTTCATATTTTTACATTCTCTTCTGACAATATGTTGTTTTTGTATTTATTATTTTACCAATGTATGTCCTATGTTCTCATTCATTTCCATGCAGCTCAATCAGTGTGTACGTTATATTTAATTTTTTGTGTTATTACGAATTATTATTATTGTCTAATGCTCCTTTGACTCCGAACAATTCCCAAAAATAAAACTGTTGTTCCCAAAAATAATCTGTGGGTTTCGCATGCAAAACTGTTGATGTTGATACTTTAAATCTGATTTCGTCAACATTCACTGGGGGTGTGATGCTATGAAAGATAATTTGTTTAATCAGATTTTGAATTTTAAATACCACTGAATTTCTCACTTTGAATTTTATAACTCTGAAAAAAGATGATTGAATTATTTTTATTCTGAATTTTAGTTGCTGAAATTTGAAGTTTACTTGTGTGCACTATGTTTTAAATTCAAAATAAAAAAAATAATTCACCACAGACATTTTCAAGCCCTCAAATTCAACAGTCAAAGTTCAGAATGTAAAATTCGCTGTGAAAAAAAATTCACAGTAAAGATCCAAGATGCCAAGGCAGAAGCAATCGATCCAAAGTGATCCAATCTAACTTAGTAACTATGGAAGATAATTTGTTTCATCAGATTTTGAATTTTAAATGCAGTTGAAATTCTCATTTTGAATTTTTTAACTCTGAAAAAACATATTATGAATTTTAGCTTCTGAGAATTTAAGTGTACATTTTCGAAGTGGATAAAATTCAATTTAAAAAAAAAATCACCTTTTAAATATTCAGCACAAATATTTCCAAGCCCTCAAAGTCAACAGTCAAAATTCAGAGTGTAAAATTCGCAGTGAAAAAAATTCACAGTAAAGATCCAAAGTGATCTGATCTAACTTAGTAACAAACAGGAAATGGTGCAGTGAAGTGATCTCATTGGTCAGAATTAGCCTCATCAAAACATCATTGCATTGATTTCTTAAGTGTAAACCCCGCCCACAGATGAGAACAGCCAATAGGAAACAGCCTCTGTCTCACTCACATGATCGATTGCTTCTGCCTTGGCATCTTGGATCTTTGCTGTCTAATTTTTCACTGCGAATTTTACACTCTGAATTTCGACAGTTGAATTTGAGGGCTTGATTTTTTTTATTTTGAATTGAAAGTAAACTTCAAATTTCAGCCACTAAAACTCAGAATAAAAATAATTCAAACATCTTAGTCGAGTTAAAAAATTCAAAGTGAGAAATTCAGTGGTGTTTAAATTTCAAAATCTGATGGAACAAATTATCTTCCATAGTAACCAACAGGAAACAAACAGGAGGTGCAGTGAAGCGATGTGACTGGTCAGAATTAGCCTCATTGGAACCTCACCTCATTGATTTCTTTAGTGTAAACTCTGCCCAGAGACGAGAACAGCCAATAGGAAACAGCCTCTGTCCTCCCCGCTCACATGATCGATTGATGATTGATCGATTGCTTCTGCCTTGGCATCTTGGATTTTTGCTGTGTAATTTTTCACTGCGAATTTTACAGTCCCAATTTTGACTGTTGAATTTGAGGGCTTGAAAATATCTGTGGTGATTTTTTTATTTTTTTTATTTACAATTTAAAATATAGTACACACAAGTAAACTTCAAATTTCAGCAACTAAAATTCAGAATAAAAATAATTCAAACATCTTTTCCAAAGTGAGAAATTCAGTGGTATTTAAAATTCAAAATCTGATGGAACAAATTATCTTCCATATGATGCTAACTTAAAGCTGAGTTTTAGCACAATTTTTAACACAATCTGACCATAAAATACTGACATAGTTGGAACTGCAACAGGAGAGATGATTTGTACTATTACACCACGCTCACACTAGCCCAATTGAACTGCGCCCAAGCACGGATTGCCCCTAAAGCGCTGTACGTTTGTGAGCACAATCGAACTGTGCCCGGGCATGGCTCAGTTGGGACTTTGGCATGGCCCGGTTGCTCGTGTACACGCACAAGCCCTGTGTGTGTGAGCGCTGATGTTACTCATACGAAGAAAACAGTGAAGAAACTCTGCTCCTAAACACACAGAGAATCCGCGCTCACTGTGTACGGTGACAGAAGTTTTGCAATTTCAGTCCTCAAGCGTTCCTCACTCCTCCGAGCTGTTTTTATATCCATAACTCACAGAGGAGCGCGTATCACAGCAGGACTCCTATCTTTTATTTTTTTGTGATCCATTTTTTATTCAAGTGTTATTAGTTGCAGTTATACATATTCCAGTTAGCATTGCATTTTTCTCCCTTTTAAGCCCCACACTTCCCGCCCTTAAACTCCCTACTGATGCAGAACACATATGTACACACACACCTACACGTAAATACTAGGGATGTAACAATAACCGAAATATCATGATCGCATCGTCAAAAGTCTCACAATAATATCATGGACCATCACAATATATTGAATTACAAGTCTCTTTGCTTAAATGAAGAGTTATGGTGCAGCAAAAGCTAAAAAAAGACAGAGGGAACTTCATAGACCATGATCCTTTGCTCCGTTTCAGTGTGGCCTACTAGCATATGAACAGTTTTAGCTGTTTAGCCTCCACAAAATGTCACAGTAAATATCTTACCATGAGATGTACATCATGAAAATATTGTACTGAGAGATTTGGATATTGTTACATCCCTAATAAATACATATATAGAATACACCACACATACATAATACATACAGAAGGAGTCATATCTGTCTCATTATTTAATAGATATTTCTGCCACTGGACTTATTTTCTCCACAGATTGTTAGCTCTGCTGCGTCACATGTAATCAAACAACATCATGTGACGTCGTCAGTTGTGCAGATGTGAGTGTGGGTCATAGAACTCTATACAGTCATGCCTGAGCACGACACGGTTCTAAAATCCTAACGTGAGTGCGTCCTTAAACAAATCTCTCAAATAACATTACAGCTACAAGCCGAATAACAATAGCCAACCATTTTTCAGTTAGTCTGTCTCACGTTTTTGTTGAAAATCAAACACCTAAACAGGAACACTTGAACTCTTGTATTGATCAGTCTCCTGAAAAAATCCACTCTGTATTTTTTTATTGAGTTTTCAGACTTGAAATCTTTTTACTTTTATCTTTGTATCAACTATGACCCCGTTTACACTGGAACAAATCTGCGTATCACCTTATCGGAAACGATCTGCATCCACACACGTCATTTGTCTGCAATCCTTCCTTATCCACACAGCTTTGAGCATGTGTGTCTACGTTTTACAGAAACGAAACTCAAAACCGCATGGTTCATTTGCATAAAGTGAGCACTCAAAACACGGTTCAGCTTTTGTCGGACTAAAGGACACGACTCAGTGGATTATGTGTGTTCTTTCTGTGACAGAGGGGTGTTCTGCTGATGGTGAGTCTGTTCTGTGCTTCTATCACATTGGAGATGGTTCATGTTAAACTTTTCAGAGATTATACGTCTGCAGGTCATACACATAGACTGTATATATGAATATATACATCAGTGTATCAGCATTTTCAGGTGTCCATACGGTGCCAGATCAGATCCATACTCAAATGAATTTGTGGGAGCTGCAGGCACCAGATCGTTCCATCTCTGGAGCTGTTTTCAATCGTATTAGTGTGGACGAACACTGCATCCACAACAGATAT